AAGATGTTCTTTATAAAAGGAACATATGCAAAATACACTTTTTTAACCTTTCTTTTAATGATTTTAAAATAAAAAGTTTCTGCGCTGCTATATAGTTGTAACTCTTCTTTAAAACTAGAAAGGACCACTTTGGAAGCTGGAGGGTGGCGAGGTGTGAAGCGCCTTGTTTGGATTTAAAGAGACAGCCTCAAAACGAGTTGATCTGAGACACCTCAGAAAAGAAGAAAAAAGGGGCTTGTGGAGTTACAATAAGGAGGAATTCAGACCAAAGCATTGCAGTTCCACTTTTTATAAACCTCAACTGAATGACTTAAATGAGAAAAGGATAAAAGGGTAAGTCTATAGGAACAATGGAATAAGATTGTTTTAATGTTTTCTAAAGAAATATTTCTTTTAAATACTTTTTACTGTCTCATGTCAATTGCCTTTTTTTTATACCAAAACTAAGACATTTTACAGTTATTTACTGAGCAACAAAAAMAAAGCACCCGACCACAGCTGCTGAACCTGCTGTCAGATGTCAGACTGCAGCTGAAACAACACCTGACAGAACGTTTGAGGCACTGCTGCTGAAAATAAATAAAGTAGACATCAGGGTATCAGTCAGGGTACATTACAGTCCAAGGTTTGATTTGTGCKTTTATTTACAAGTCYAAACTCTTGAAAAGGAAAATTACTTTGGATAAAATAAAGAAAATATTGTCCTTAAATCATACTGTAGATTGATCTGCTTACATTTGTCTGGAGGGGTTATTGTGATGGATTGTGCCGTGAACTCGTCGTCAAAGTAACGAGTGTCTGTCTCTGATGTGACCTGCGGCTTGAAGGGTGGAATAAGCTGAGGAGATGGACAAATCAATTAGTTTCAAAAATAAAGAGGGGAACATTTGTTTTTTTGTCTTGCTTTAGATGTCTCAATGTTTGTTCATTTCCGTTTCGGTGTCTCACCTTTTTCTCAATAACGTCCTGCCAGTTGATGGGGGTGAAAAACTTGTGGGTCATCACTTCTTTGGCATCGTCTGGTCCGCCTCCGAGCCTGCAAACAGCACAAAATCACCACCGGTGGACAGGCTATAAATAAAAATGGGAGGAAATATACAACAAGCAACAATATTTACCGGTTTCTAAACAAATTTATTGTTAATTTTCGTGCTAGAACTGCGTGTGCCAGGACGCCTGCAGGCAGAGCTCAGTGTGCTAATATTAGCAGTTCTGTCATTACCAGAAACACGGGTCTTGACCAAAACAACAAACAATTACGTCCTTGTTTAAGGCCATTACCCCTTTAACCAAAGCTAATAAAAAAGGAACATGGGCCTCAATAACAAGATTACTTTTTATAGATAAATACAAGGTGCCTCAAAGAGCAATAARGACTCAGAAAACATTTTAACTGAAGTCACAATGTGTGAAAGCTCTAAAAAGATTGTTTTTCTGAACTGGWCAACTCCATCTTCACATTTACTCATTTATACAACAATTATGTCTTTTAACCCTCAGAAGATCCTTTATCTTTGAGARGAAAGATGTTTATTGAGTGAAAAAAAATTAAAAAGTCTATTTTACGTAACTGCTTCAAAATATGTTTCTTTCCATTAAATGAGCCTTTTATAGCCATCTCAGCCTGAAATAAGAAATATATTATTTTAGATATTTTTATGTTAACCATTTAAGAGCCTTTAATTTAAAAAAAACCTCCACTTTACATTAAAAAAAGATTTATTGACATTTTTTTGGGCAAAAAGGCATTTTCCCCAACAGTTCACTAACTTCCTTAAAGGTGTGGTAAGACCATCCAGCCCACTGGATCCTCCACATCCTGCAGCTGAATATGATCTTGTTTTTMGTCACTCTATGATCACACATGGAGGTTTTTTTGTTATTTATTTTTTTAAACAAGACCAGTTTGTGTTTGGCTTTCTTGCTTCTACTGATTTATGTAGAATTAGAACTACTGGAGCATCAGAGTGAGCCAAGTATGAAAATAGAGTTAAA